GAAGTAAATTTATATACATATATATTCATATATATATAAATAACAGAGCAATAACGGACAATTTATTAAAAGTGAAAGCAAAATTATTTCATATCGATACGTGCCGCAGACCCGATTATGAAAATTCCACCGCAAAAAAAAGAGAGATAAAAAAAAACAATTATAAAAAATTAAAAAAAAAAAAAAAACTAATAACTAAATTGAATTAACAACAAAAATACTCTAAAATTCAAGAGGCAACGACAGAGGTGAAGCAAAAACTTGCAGAAAAATTTCAACTTAATTATTGTATAATCGTCAAGATGCCCTGCGCACAGAGCTCGTATAGACCAGTATATCTGCATTAATTAGCTCGCTGTTTTCTCGTAATTACGTGTTTACAAAGAGCGTAATAAATGCGAAAGACTCGCTATAAACTGCTGATAGAGTATTGAAAGAAACCCCGAGCGAGCGATTAATTAAAACAAAATCAACACAAAAACCAAATGCTTTCAACAGCAACAGCAACAACAACAGCTCAATGGGTTGGTCAGTAGTGCAAGATGGAGGCGTGCCAGCAGTGGCTGCAGCCGTTGGCCGGCCTGCAATCTATGGGCGCCTAATGCCTGCGGCGGCTTGGGTGCAATGTTTGATGAACACGTCACACTTGGCCAGACAGAGAGCAGGCATGTAGCAATTTGTGTATACCATTAGATGCTGGCGTTAATTAGATTATAGATGAGCAGGCAACAGCAACAGATTCTAGCAATGCCACATTATGACGTTGATTGCCCACAGCAAGGCGGGGTCGAATGATAATGAGTCTGAGTCTGAGCCAGCAACAGCAACAGCAACAACAACAACAACTGCAGCGACGACATCAATCACAGGCCAGCAATTTGCTGGCATTTTTCGATTTAAAGGCGCGCAAATATTTGCATAATTGCTGCTTGCCCAAGCAACAAAACCGCGAAAACAGCCAACAAGGGAAATGTGCACCAAAAATATTTTTGGAGTGCACACAGCAACAACAGCAACCACCACAACAACAGCAGCAGCAGCTGCGACAAACTCTTTGTCGACTGAGACTGCCTGTTGACCGGTTTTTATGAGCGGCCCAAACTTGTTGCGCATTATGCAATCAAGTGACGACAAGGCAAATTGGAGTTGCGTGCCAGGAAGTCGAAAAGACTGCCAGGCCAAAATGGAGGCGGCCATATATAAATGCAGACGCATTCGCTGCCCCTCTAGAAAATCAAGGAGCGTACCACAGGGCACCCCCTGGTAGGTAGGTGTAAAACTGCCTAGCTAATTACTGACTATGAAGATTACTTAATTAGCTCAAGGTGTTTGAGTACGCTATTGAGTTTTACTTTGACTTTTTGTCCAAAACTTTTGTTAATTCAAATTGAGGCTGGCGATTTATCAAAAAAATGATTGCAACTCATCTTGCTAGTTCTTCTTCTTCAAATGACAAACGAAAGATTTCCATGTAAATATATCTTTTGATCAAGCCAGCCAAGACTTTCTAATACTTATTTCCTTATATATACCTGTATCTATGAATATATATTCGCTTTGTCATGAAATATCTACTTGATTTTATTATATTATATATTTTGCAACTACCATGTCCATATATGTATCTATCAATACATATATATTCCCTTCCTCATTATATATCCACTTTATTTTATGATATTAAATATTATATATTTTGCAATTACCTTATAGCTCACATTGCTGGCCATGCACTCGCGCTGCATGGTATCTCCGCTGGCTGTGATCTCCACAATTTTCGGCACTTCCGTTTCGGGCTGAGCTGTAGTCGATGTTGTGGTTGTTGTTGTTGTTGTTGWGGTTGTATTTGTAATTGGCTCAATGCGCTCATCGTCCATGCTGACGTCGCTGAGATCCATAAGAGCCTGATGCATGCTGGCATTGTGATGGAACAGTAGCTCAAAATCGTCGCCACCACCTGCCGAGCGACCCTCGCCAGCGAATGCAACAAATGGCGTATCAGTTGTGGTCGACGTTGTTGTTGTTGGAGCTGTAGTGCTGCTGCTGCTGCTTGTTTCGTCCTCGGCTGGGTGCTGCACTCCAAGCATATGCTGTCCTTCAACAATGTTAATCACTGGAGCCGCATCCACTTCGAATCGCGGCATGAGTGTGGTGCCCTCTGCCTCTGCCTCTGCCGCTGTCTGTGCCTCGATTGGTGTCTCAGTCGGTTGCTGACTCTCTGGCTCATTCATATTCATGGCGCGTGCTCGGGATGTGGATGTCGTCTCAGTTGATGGCTGTGCCGTTGCCTTGTTCTCCATACTGACAATAATGCCAACGCTCGACTCGGTTGTCGTTGTCGTTGTTGTTGTTGGTGTTGTCGCTGCTGCTGCTGCTGCTGTTGCAGTTGTTGTCGCTGGCTCGCCCTCTTCGGTGCTGCTCGACAGCATTTGATAATCTTCGTGCTCGGCCAGGCGATCATGATTCTCGGACAGTATATGCACATGATAGGGATCTTCGGACTCACTTGTTGTTGTCGTTGTTGTTGGCGCGGCAGTTGTTGTTGTTGTTGTTGTTGTTGTTGTTGTGAGTGCGGACTTGTCGCTCTCACTTTCATTCTCACTGATACCGGACACATTCTCCTCGCTGTTGCTGGCCGTTATGAGCGTTGCCGGATGTCGAAAATTATGCAAGTCCTTAGCATCACCATCGCTCTCATTGGAGATCTGATTGAGCAGGAACTCGTTCTGCTGATCCTGCTCCTGCTCCTCCTGCTGCTGCTGCTGCTCTGTGGTGGCATCGCCTCCCACGCTCTCAGCATGCTCATCTCTCAAGGGAATATGCTGAATGTGCGTGGCTTCCAGCTCCGACGGATGTACGATCTCAGCACGCGGCGTAGTCGTTGGCTCTGTGGAGGTAATCGGCTCAATGCTCGTCGNTTCTATATTCTATATTCTATATTCTATATTCTATATTCTATATTCTATATTCTATATTCTATATTCTATATTCTATATTCTATATTCTATATTCTATATTCTATATTCTATATTCGATATTCGATATTCGATATTCGATATTCTATATTCGATATTCTATATATTATATTCGAATAGTCGAATGAGTTGACTTAATTGAAGTACTCGACTTTAATTTTGTTGGTGAGTGTAAATACACTTGGCAAAGCTAAAAGCTGAGCATTCACGGATTGTGTTTCTTTGTTCCAGGCGTGAAAGCGAGCTGAATGAAAATGGAAATGGAAAAAGGCGCTTGATACCCAAGCGATAGATAGATGCAGATACAAATGCAGTTGTATATGTGTGTGTATGTGTGTATATGTGTGTGTATGTGAAATGGGAAAGTGATAATTAAAAATCGCGCTATAGACTTGCAGTTGTTGTTCTATATATATAAATTTATATATGTATGTATGTATGTATGTATGTATGTGTGTGTGTGTTGCCTGGTTATTGTGTTGTATCTGAAGTGGGATATTGCAATCAGGCAACATGGGGCAAGATGGATGTGGCAACATGCATGAAGTGATCAATGTGCCTAACAATGATTGACGGCATTTCAATGAAGTGCAAGGCAGCAAGAGCTGGAAAGGGGGAGAGAGAGTGGGAGAGAGGTAGGCTGAGAGTCAGTCAGCCTGCTCTGCGATATAGAGAGGGAGAGAGGGAGACGGGGGCTGCTGATGACAAACAATTATGCAGAATTTTGCAGGCGTGCGCAATTTTGTGCAAAAAATTAATTTTGCATTTTTAATTTTGCATAGATTGCTCGACTTGCATGTGTGAGTGTGTGTGTGTGTGTGTGTGTGTGTGAGTGAGTGCTTGGCTGTGTGCGAGAGCTTAAAGATTCACAGCGAGTCTTTAAACAAAAAAAAAAAGAGCGTTACCCCTCTGATTAATTGCTGAGCCAGCAAACAAGGCCCGGCCGGCTGCTATCACAAAGGATTGATAAGTGCTCGACTTCGAGCTGGCATCAGGCGAGCCGGCTCGACCAATAATCTCTCAATAGTGCTCTCAATGCTGCCAGAGGGCCACGTGTCCATTGTAGCCAACCATGGGCGATGAGCTGATGCTGCCGCTGCCTCGGCCTCTGCCTCTGCTTCGGCTGCTGCTGCTGCTGCTCCCGCCGTAACTCAGCTCATTCGCAGCGCGCTGCCCGATCACTAAAGATGTTGACCAGCAACAGCTCAAGCTACAGCAACAGAAACAGCAACTGTTCCAGCACCAGCTCCAGTTCAGGCTTCAGCTCCTCCTGTGTCCAGGTCAGCCGAGATGTGCAACAGCAGCTGGTGCTGCTGCGCCTCCAGCCGGACTCGTCCGGTTTGCAGTTTCCGGAGATTTGGCTGCGCGACAATTGTCAGTGCAGCACGTGCTACATGCAACAGACGCGCAGTCGCCTGCCGCAGGGCTGGAACTATTTGGATCCCTCGGTGCGGCTGCAGCAGCTCAGCTGGTGTGCGGAGCGCCAGAGCCTGCAGATCAGTTGGAGCGATGGCCACAAGTCCAGCTTCGCCTTGAGCTGGCTGAAGGAGCGCGATTTCTCGCCTGCGAATCGCGCGCGTTATTTGCGCGATTGCTATCGGCCGGAACAGCGGCTCTGGAGCGGCACGGAGTTCCAGCGCATACAGCGTGAGTTTCTCTACGACGAGCTGCTGCACAATGATGAGGCGCTGCTGCAGTGGCTGCACCAGCTGGCCGTCTACGGACTGGCGCTGGTCAAGCAGGCGCCGCTGGACTCGAATGTGCTGCGCAATCTGTGCAATCGCGTGGGCTTCATGCGCAGCACCACCTACGGCGATGAGTGGAGCGTGAAGGCGCAGCCAGGTGCCAGCAACTATGCTTACCTGGCCGCACCGCTGCCGCTGCACACAGACATGCCGTACTTTGAGTACAAGCCGAGCATCACTCTGCTCCACACGCTGCAGCAGTCAGACTCACCTGGCGGCTGGAATCTGCTGAGCGATGCTTTCCATGTGGCGGATCTGCTGCGTCAGCGATATCCGGGCGCCTTCAAGGTGCTCAGCGAGACGCCCGTCGACTGGGCGGACATTGGCAGCGAGAAGAACCTGAGATTCCACAACATCTGGCGGGCGCCAGTTATCAAGTGAGTGAGCCAAAGCTTTGATAAGTCTCTTATTTTAATCACTCTCTCTTTCTCTCTCTCTCTCTCTCTCTCTTTGCCAGCTTGGATGCCAATGGCCGTTACGTGCGCATCAACCTGAGCATTCCGCAGCGGGACAGCCATTTCAGTGTGCCCGCCGAGCAGGTGCGTCCCTGGTACGAGGCCATGGCATTGTTTATGCGGCTGGCCAACGAGCAGGCATGCACGTTTAAGACAACGCCAGGTGATGTTCTTACCTTTGATAATGTGCGCATGGTGCACGGCCGGACGGGCTACGATGATACCGAGCAAAATATTCGGCATATTGTGGGCGCATTTCTAGACTGGGACATTGCCTATTCGCGTTGGCGTGTGCTCAAGAATGATTTGGGTCATTACAATAAATAGCCGTTATTTGTCGCCTTATCAGTAAGCATGTGAATAATTAACAATATGCATATGTACATATGTACATAGTTACCCTCTCTGTGCCTGACTCGGACCCCTACGCCCCACACCTCTGACACTGCCCAGCAACTGGTTTAATCAGCTTGAAACATTGTATTCAAATGACATGGGAATAAAGATTATAATATATATATAATTACACATTTAATCGAATGCAGTGATTATTTATTAATTAAATCATTTATTTATTTTTTTTTTGCTGATAACAAATAACATAATAAAAACCCGTTCGTTAATTAATGCAATGCATGAGAGTAGGGGATTGGTAAGTCAACAAACCAGAGCGTGGATTGTGGATATTGTCCGTGTGGAAGATAATTTACTCATTCTAACTGATCCCGTTACAATTTGTCGTTTGCCTGCAATGCTTGTTGTTAGTGTGAGTGTGGAATTCTTGATGATTCCGTTACAATGTGTCGCTAGCAGGCTGTCGCAACAGAGAGGGAGCATCGTGTATGGTGTGAGTTCGAGGGAGAGCGCTAATAAGGTTCTCATTTACTTTTCGCATATTGGAAATGGTATGAAGGAAAAGAGTTTTATTGGAAAGGAAGAGCTAGCTCAAATACAGAAAGAACAATTAGTCAGTGAACGTCAGTTCTGTTGGTCGGCCGTGTAATTCACACGTGTTCGCTATTCGTTTTTATTCTTCGTTACTGATTTAATAGTTAGTTGTCTATTGCAAATATTTTAATAATCATCATTATTATCATTATTATTTTTTTTTTTTGTATTAATAGAATTTTTTGTGTATATATAGAATTATTTTTTTTCTTTTTTTTTCTGTGAATTAATAAAAATTGTGCATACAACATACATACATAAATATAATAATCTAATTTCAACATGCTTGGAAAGGTAAGAGTACTACTTTTCTTTACGTTTCTAGAAATATTTATGTACATATGTACATACATACATATGTATGTGTGTATATGTTATCTACATATTTGCATATTTAATTATCTATTTGCAGTTGCTATTATAGTACGCAATAAGCTTTGACTTTTTTCTTCTTTCTTTTATGTAGTTCTTTTTTTTTCCCACACCTCAAATTCTACTTCGCAAATTTGCATTGGCAGACTTCACATTTTTTTATGAGTGCCAATGTAAAGGCGAATGGAATATCTCTCTTTTGACAGCTCATTCGTATAGATACCGTTGCTGGTTGTAGGCACAGCATAAAGCGCCTATTTGGTAGGATGTGAGTGAGAGTAGGAAGGGTAATATGCGTTTGATCCCATTGCAAGAAGCGTACATGGGAAGTGGAATAGAGCGTGAGAATGCTAAATCGTTGCGTGCTCTTTGTTTCTGTGGTTTGGGTGAGCGTGTTAGTTTAGCAAAGACACGAATCTAATAAATGAGTTGAAATCCACTTCCAGTGGAAGTATAAGAAGGTATGTAAATATCCTCTAACGCGTATTTGTATTTCCTCTTTAAGTAATTTCCTATAATGAGGCTATTATGATTTCGTCATATGAATATTTTTTAAAATATTCAAAGTTAGTTATAAAAATAAATTACAGGGCATCTACAAGTACATATAGCGAATGTTGTATATTAATTCGATGATTAACTAGGGAACACATGATTTGAAGTGAAAGTCTACGACACGTCATTGTTTACGCGCAGCTCAAAAACTGTAGATGACTGGCGGTAATTTGAAGTGCTGTTATCAGTAAAAATGAATGAATGTTTATGCCGTTTGTCTGTATGATTTCTGTTCTGTTATACTTTGGCATACGCGATTAGCTGTTTATCAATTTATGGCCAGAGCCAGAGACAAGCATTGACCTGGCTGAGCTTTTAGTGTCAGCGTAAATCACACAACTGTGCTGGTGTGTGTGCGGGTGAGTGAGAGTGTGCTGAACCCTTTAAAACAAGCAACAAGCTAAGTGCGGACAGAGGGCTGAAGTGGGCGGGACACTCTGTATTTTTACGGCACATTTTGACGGCACCTTTTGGAAGAGGCGGAAGCTGTTGCTTGTTGGGTTTGCTTCGTTTTTTTTTTGTGTGTTTGGTGTGGTTACCCAGTGGCAAATCCTTGGCAAATCTTTTTATTTATGTCATTGATGCTACACACACACACACACACACACACACTCAAACACCCAGGCAGACACATGAGAAACACACATCTACGGCATGTTATTTTGGTAGCAGTGCAATACTTGCCAGCCAAGTAAATCCCTCTAATAATCCACATAATAAGCAGCTAGAGAGTCCGCTGAAGCAGCAGCAGCAACAGTAACAGCTGACAGCAAAAAAGGGTTGCAGCCACGCCCAACCTACCTCCCATCCAACCTGTCGCTTGTTTATAAGTTCATAAAACTGAACGAGCTGAGCTTTGAGAGGGTTTGAGGCTTGGTCTGTTGCACATAAAAGCGAAGTAAAAATAAGAGAAGAGTCGCAAATCCAATTTCTGTTTGTGGTTTGGGCCAAGTCTTTTACGGCTACCACGGCCATAATGTGTAATTGAAAACCCTGCGCTCAACTATTGCACTCCCGGGGCCCACTCCACTGTCAATGTGTGTATGCGATCTGCCCTCTAAAAACTAATTGGCACAGTTGTGGCCAGCCAAAAAGAAGAAGAAAAAAGAAAAAAAAAAGAGCGAGAAGCATAGAGATAGATAGAGGTTTATATGCTGTGACACTGACACCGCTGGCCATTATGTAAACAAGGCCAAGAGCCAGACCGAATTGCCAACCCTTTGGCCAAAGGAGCAACTGGGCTGCAAATAATGCGCTCAATTTGTAGACACTTTCGGCAGACGGCAGACAGGGCAGACAATCGCCAAACTAAAATGCTTATATACAATTTCCGCTAACCGCCCCCTCATTACACACACACACACTCAGACAGAGAGACAGAGAGAGAGAGGGAGAGAGAGAGCTAGATAAAGGGGTTTTGGCTATGGCCCAGTTTTTGCTTGTGCCAACTTTTGGTTTACCAACGTCTTTTTTCTTCTTTCGTTGCAAAACTGTCACAATGATAAACATGCGGCAATTGACGCAATCATTGTCTGTCCATGAATTGAATTAAATCAACTCAAGTGCGACAATCCACAGCGACTCATCCCCAAGTGCTGGCAGCAACCATCCTTCAAGACATATGGATAACGTTCACTCTATGCCCAATTTGGACTTTTTATATACGCTAGCTAAACGAGTTCAATGAAATTGTCATTACTTGTGTAATGCTTGAAGGCAAATGTATAAATATATTTAGCTTTTATTAGAAGAATCTAATCTTGAATAATCTAAGACTGAGACTTAACATAAAAATTAAATACTGGCTACAGCGGACTATAATTTATTATTATTTGCATAAGCAACAACTTTATATAATTTTATAAAACATTATCTATAATTTGATGTGTGGATGTTTTATTTATTTTTATTTTTATTTATTTATTTTTTTTTAAATCACTTTTAATTGTGACCTCTTCAAAGTAATCCCCAAGAAAAATTATATTA